ATAATAATAATAACAAGAAAGCAATAATGATAATGATAATAATGATTAAAATAACAAAATAAATAACAATAATAATAATAATAATAATAACCAACAAAATATAAATAATACTAGCAAAGAGTGATATTAATAATAACTCCAATAAAATAAATCATAATGATAGGAAAAATATGATAAATAAAAATAAAAAAATAACCAAAAAATAGAAAAAATAACAAAAAATCACAAAAATAGAAAAATAACAAAAAATAACAAAAAATAGAAAAAAATAGAAATAACAAAATATTCTGAAAAAATAACATCCCCACCCGATAAAAAAAAAAAAGAAAAAACATTTTGAAACCCCCAAACGGAAAAACCTCTTTGGAAACTAACCGTAAAGCCACTTACATCGGCTCTGTGGCTACCGGTGTTGGCCGAAGACTGGGCATCGAGGTTCGCGAGCGTGGGCGGCCCCTGCTGGTGATGATGGGCGTGGATGAGGGCGTGGGAGGTGTGGGTGGGCGGCGGGGATTCCAGCTGGGTGAGGGACGTTCCTCCGTCGCCTCCTCCACCTCCTCCGCCGCCGCCGCCGCCTCCTCCACCGCCGCCTCCACCTGGGGGTTTGTTGGTGACATTTTTGTTGAGGTCGTCGACCAGGTCCTTGCTCACGCCTGCGGGAGGAAGGGGGAGAAATGAGGGTTTTGAGGTGAAATGAGGTGAAAAAAATGTGGTTTTGAGGTGATGTTGGGGTGGAGAAATGGATTTTGAGGTGAAATTGGGTTTTGAGGTGATGTTGAGGTGGAGAAATGGGTTTTCAGGGAATGAGCGATGAAGAAATGAGGGTTTTGAGGTGAAATTGAGATGGAGAAACGATAGTTTTGAGGTGAAATTGGGTTTTGGGGTGATATTGAGGTGAAAAAAATGGGTTTTTGAGGTGATACTGCAGTGGAGAAATGGGTTTTGAGGTGATATTAAGGTGGAGAAATGGGTTTTGAGGTGTTAAAATGTTTTTTGGTGTGGTATTGGGATGGAGAAATGGGTTTTGAGGTAAATAATGGGTTTTGAGGTGAAATTGAGGTGGTGAAATGGGTTTTGAGATGAAATTGAGATGTGGAAATGGAGTTTGAGATAAAGAAACTGATTTTGACTTCAAGAAAATTATTTTGACAGGAAGAAATGGGTTTCAAATGAAAAAAAATGGAAATGAAATAGAAAAAATGGTATTCAAACGTAACTGAAATAAACTGAATTGATTGGATTTGAAACTACATTTTACTTCTTAAAAAAGGACTGTTAAATAACACGATAATAACATATATACCGTACATATAGAGTATTGTTAATCAACTAGTAATAACATATAACAAATATCGTTAATTATCTAGAGACTTCCACGAATAACAAAATGACAACAATAACAATGACAGTGATAAATGAACAAGCAAAATAATCTTGCGAATATTTTTTGAACGTATAATATTCCTTATCTTAACTGTTATCGCTACTATCTGTATAGTTATCATTATTGCTACTTTTATCATTGGCGTTGTTGGTACCATTATTATTATCAATATTGCAATGAATGTTATAAACATTGACATTATCGCTATAATTTTATTCTTTAAAGTGAATATAAGTATCGCTATTTTTACTATTACTAAAGCTATTATTATTATTATCATTATCATTATTATTATTATTACTATTATTTCTATCACTATTATTATGATCATTATTATTTACATAATTATCATTATTTTCATCATTACTAATATTGTTAGCATCATTACATTATTATTGTTATTATAAATGTTATCATCATCATTATCATTATTATTAATATCATCATCATAATTATTATTCTTATCACTATCACTGTTATTGCAATCATCTGAATTTTCATCAACAATGATAATAATTGTAATGATAATAATAATACTAATAGATAATAAAAATAATAATAACAATAATTATACTGATAATAATAACAACCTTAATAATTCCAACAATAATAATGATAATAGTAATAATAACAATAGTAGTAGTAGTAGTAACAATAATAACAATGATAATAACAATAATAATAGTTATTATCATCATAACAATAATAATAGTTATTATTATCATAACATTAATAATTATACTAATGACAATAATAATAATAACAATTATGATAATAACAACCCCAGCAATAACAAAAACTATAACAATTAACAAACACAATACCACAAAAATACAAACATTTTCAACAACACTAAAAGCAATTTAACCGACGTACGACCTCGCGCATTCCCATAATTTTCTAAAAACCACTTAAGTGTACGTAAAAAAAAAAACACAAAAACTACACACACACGACACAGCATCAATGGCTCTCTCTAAACACCTTATTAATTATTTTCCGAATATTCGATAGACACAGCCAATGATCCGTGTCATTAAAATAATTAATAGGGGCTTGTAGGTCAGACTTCGATAAGTGTTTTTGGTCAAATTATCGTCTCTTTTTAAATCTATTTTTTGATTATATGTATCCGTGTAATTTGAATATTTTTTTTTCGTCGCGTTTTTGTATCTATTTTTCTTTAATATGAATATCCGCGCGATTTTGATATATTTTTTTTCGCGAAATCGGATTTTGAAATGGAAAGAAATCTGGAAATCGGATAAGGAAATCGGTTTGATTTATCTCTAATCTGTGTCCTCCGTGCAAAAGATTTCGGAGACGGAACTAGAGGTCGGAACCAAACCGGAAATGCAAATCCGGCCAATCTGTCTAATGCTCTCAGATTTAGTTATTGTTTTTTCGCTTAATTCTTTAATTCTAATCTTTATTAGGTTTTGTTCTATTAATCTACAATTTTACGGGAGTTTATCATCATCAAGCGCGTTCCTTATCGTCCTTCTTATATATATATATAATTTCCCGCAAAAGAAATATCTCACTTTGAAATACTTTACGAAATCCGACGAAAAATCTAAATCACTTTCCTTATTCGAATCTACATATTTAGAAAGGTATTTAACTCTACAAATATTCGCCTTCACAACGGCACACGGACTCTGGCACTCGTTCTTGCGGCTTGGCACTAACGGACCGCAGTGCCACGCTAATTTACCGTCCCCGCTGTGGATAATATGGCTCCCGTTTGAGTTTAATTACCAAGACCAATTACCTCCTCTTTAAAAAAAAAATAGTTGTTTGTTTACGGCGAGTAGAAAAAATAATAATGAGTTTTTTTTTTGTTTTTTTTTTTTTTGTAAATCGGGGGTTGGAGTAACTCTCTTTTTTTAACTTTTTCTTAAGCTGCGTCGTTTGTTTAAATGGAATAGTTCACAGGAGTGGAGGTTTTATGGGGGTCGCGTCCCCGGTTTTAAGAGGCTATCAAAAGTTTTTTTTATTTTTGTGTTTAAAAAATGTCAGCGCGGTGAGTATACAATTTCTTGATTAATTCCACGGTCGGTGAATTAAGATTGATATTAAATCTTATCGGATTTATATCTATATAGTTCTAGACACGCGAAAATACACGATTATATTACGTTATTCTTATTTCATTCTCACGAATTCGCACTATGAACACCCTGTTTTCAATTCGTCAAAAAGAATATCCTACACTTTACTTGCGAACTTGGAATAGGCTTGAACTAGATCCATTCGGCGGCAGACCGTCAGTCGGCGGATCGGCTAATTTGCATAGCGTCAGCCGCTCACTCCACGAAAATAAAATTCCCGATAACTCAATTATCTCCAGACAGCCCGACTCTCCTGGCAAAACGAGCCATCTGTAGGCCAACCTTAGACCAGCTGGCAAAGGGCGTGACGCGACTCCTGAGGGAGGGAGGGAGAGCCACCTGTCGCCGCCGGAGGAACAGCTGGTTGCAGAGAGCGGACACCTTCCGGAGCAAAAGACGGTGGGCTGCCTTCGCCGTCCTCCAAAAGATACTTGACGAAACCCAAAAACCTTGCCTTAGGCGTCTGATCTCGGCCAACAAATCAAATCTCGCTGGTGCCTATCACATTTGCACCCCTTAATGAGCCCAGAGCCGCTGGTAATTAAGAGTAAATTTGCAAAATACGCTGGTAATGAGGCGTACTTACCGATGGATGGCGGTGGCGGAGCTGTCAACATGTCGCAGAGAAGCTTGGCGACAAACTCACTTCTCGGGAATCCACTCTTTCAATGTTTGATTATGAAAAGCGCGTTCGGACCGCTGATTACGTACATATGAAGTAATATGGTCCGCAGACAAGATCTAAATGGAGATTTCCCAATACTAACTTTGCTTGTTAAACCTATCTCCTCTTGTTAAGCGATAGGCGCGTTGGGCGAGAGCGGCGGACCAATCATCGTTCCGGAACGCGCAAAGGGGGAGGAGCCAGCCCGCCCGGTCACGCCCCCTTTCCGGTCGTTCCGCCAACGGGAGACGAGGAAAGGTTATACGAAGAGTAATCTCTGGCCAAATTGAAGATAATACTCAATGAAACCATAGAATTGAACGGATTGCTGGAAAATTGCTTGTGTGTCGGGTGAAAGATGTTTTAAATTAATGCCAGGTCCTCTGCGAAGGGACAGAGACATGCAAAAGTACCGAAAGATAACGCTGACAGTAGCGGCAAATGCGTCCATGTTGAACAGAATACGGACTATTGAAAACTCTGGCTGGGACAATATTAACTTTGAGATTTTCAATACTATTGTGTTTTAAAAAGGAGATAGCATAAAGGAAGATAACACTCTCTGAATGATATTATATGGTCCATTAATATAACATAAAATCAGGTAAAATAATTCAAGTGATATATGTTATACTTAATGAATCTCTGAGCATTTGTTATATAAACTATATATGTTTACGCTCAAGAGAATCAGTAGAATAGATACAATATGTCTTTGTGATAAAATATGGCTGCATCTAAACGTTTATTTCAGTGTGTGAGATTATCTGTTCTCTCTCTCTCTCTCTGTCTCTCTCTCTCACCTTTCAACTCTGCGTCTCTCTCTCTCTCTCTCTCT